GATTCCAACTGTTTGGTTGGTTAAAATCCGAATCCCATACTCATTCCTGCTGAAATGACATTTGAGAGAATGATCATTTCATGCCCCTCTCTTATAAATAAAATTACATTCCTGCTGATTTTAATTCTCATTCCCATTCATATCTGAACCAAACAGATTATAAGAATATACTATTCAAATTTCGATTCCAATTCCGACTACAAACCAAAAGACCCATAGATTTTTGTTTTTTACCTAAACTTATCCATAGGGAGAAGAAGACAAGGGTAGGATAAAGTCGTTGATTACTAGCATTCTTCTATTTGTTTTCCTTGGAAAAGGCCTCCCACTAAGAGATAATCTTGTGTGGGGAAGTCTGAGCACAACTTGAGTCCAATATCACTACTCTTTGGCGTTTTTATATATATTCTAGAGATGAACTATTTTGTATTCTTTCAAGAATTCTTTTTTATAAATCATACACCACTCATGTTGTAGGAATGCCTTAAAAGAGAACAACTAGTTGCAGTGCAATAAAATTGTTTTCAATTTTGTGTCATTTGGTTGTTAATAAAATGAAGGAAAACAAATGATTTCCCTGAAAATTTGTTAGTTTATACATGGTTCAAAGCATCAATATTTACAATACGCAAAAGTTGTATATCTTGCATGTTGAAGAGTTTGGATCTGCTCCTCACGCCGACCTAATAGCATGTAGCAGTTGCACATCGGGAACATCTCTCATATTTGTATGTTATTATTCATGGTAGATATTTCTAGGGGTGAGCAAACGATTTATTTGATTTAAAACCGAACCAAACAAATCGAACTTTTCATAACCGAAGCCAAAAACTGAACTGAATCCCCAAATTAACTGACCCAAAAACACCAAACCCAAAATTCCAATTTGGTTATTCGGTTTTAACCGAAGTATGCTCACCCCTAGATATTTCCAATATAGGGTGGAATGTGGCTGTAAGGTCAGTGTGAGGAGTGTTCCAGGAGGAGATCCCAAATTGTGTTTCAAATGACTAAAAAGTTGGGTTTTTTTTTTATTTTTTATTTTTTGGTGAGGAGAATAGAATCATGACATCTACAAAACGATTATTGCCCTTCAAAATGGTCAGATGTCCTAATTGTATTTAGCGTTCTAGTGAGCTCAAAATATGATTTGATTTTCATTAAATGTGAAGTTTCTTTCTTTTGAATTAATAATGATTCTAGCATAGATATTTATAATAAATATAAATTTCCAAAGAAGCCATTGACTCTCTTCATTTTATATATGGCCTATTGGTCAAAGAGCTTAAATATGAAGGTAAATTGCAAAGGAGAAAATGATGCTTATAATCATGCAAGAGCAGAAAAGAAGAGTAAAAATCCCCAATAAGCCCTTGCAAGGTACACTTTTTCCCCCTTAGGCTGTGTTAATTTGCATTACAAATATGAGCTAGATACAAATTTTGCACCAAGTTCTGTCTTGCCTCCACTTGTTTGTAACTGCGATTTACACTCCTACATGATGCTTTTTTTATTTTATTTTTTATTTTTTACTTTTTACTTTTCATCTCATTTGCACATTCAACTCATTAGCAAATTTGCACCATCTCCCTCCTACATTGATTCTTTCTCAGTGTCTCGTGGAAATGGGAACCACATCATCTTGCTTTCTATCTCACTTCCAAACAAATAATTCTCTTCATACTTCAATTATCTTTCATATAAGTGAAAGGACACATGATTTTACCTCACACAAACAATTGACACAAAGTCAAATCTAAACAAAAGCAAACCAGAATTTATACTCAGTTTATTTACACTTTCTGCTCGGGTTGGAAGGAGTACAAATGTAAATATGTACTATACAAAATAAAAGATTTTGCACTCTACATATTTGTATTTATACTCTTCCAAACCGAGCCTTCATACATTTACACCAATGCAAATAAAGTATCTAATTTTAAATGTTGGAATATATGGGTCCACTTTCAAGTGGTAGAACATATGCAGCATATCTGCAATCTGCATACAAAAGGTAACAATAAGGTAGTACTGTACAGTACTCCAACGAGAATGGATTCATGGAACTAGTACATTTCTGACCGTTGATTCCAAAAAGTTTAAAAAATCATTAAAAAAAAAAAAGAGGTGGACGTGCATGCCACCAGACCTGACATCTAGTCATCTACCCAGGTATGAAAAAAACCCTAACAAAAAGCTAATTATTCCTCCGGCTTTAAGAGACTGCTGATTCATTACACAGAGGAGAGGGGGGATCCGCTGAGGTGGCATGTTGGGACCCATTTCTGGTGGTGGGTCATCCTCTGAAGATGAGATATGCCGTATGTGTGGTGACTGGTGAGTGGGTGTTTCTTATGTGGGCCCAAATCCAATACCCATGAAGATTCGTCTATGTGGATTCATAGTCTGTCTCTTCATGGGCCCCATTAGCCCAGAAAACCATAATACAATAATAATCCACCTGGTTCACCATGGACCCGTACACGTGGCCCAAATGGGCTGGTCGGCCCTAAAGACTGAATGGTCGGGATCAAAGACGTCTTGGTTCAAAGCGTGTGATGGGGATCCATCTAATACAGCCGTGATCATAAGACAAGTCAGAAATAATAATTAATAATAAATCCCTATCTGTCTCTCCCACAGTCTCTGTCTCTGTCTATCTCCTCTCTCTCTCTCTGTCTAATTATGTGATTAGGCTGACCCATGATTAAGGTTTCTTGATTGATTATTAGACTAGAATTCATTCTTTAATCATCATTATATTATCTCTCTCTCTCTGATGACTGATGTGTATTTATCTGCCAAATCTCATATGTCTTCTCCATTCTCTACAAACCCCCGGTGGTCGTGGTAGAGAGGAAAAAAAAACAATTAAACAACCAATCCAAAATCCAAACTTATCAGACACTTTTCTTTTTTATACATGCTTTATGAAGAAAAACTTGTCTGAAAGCAATCCACTTGTTCAAAGTTCAAACCGCTTTCTGGAAAGGAAGAGGGTGGTGTCGTTGGGTTTATTGTATGCAGTTCTCATTCACCCGATTGGGTTTTAACCGTCTATTTGTCCACTTCTTAGGGAGGGAATAGAATAGAAGTAGCCAAGTAGGGAAAGGCTAAAGAGGCGAGGAGAAGAAAGGTGATTGAAAATGGTAGCTGCTGATTGATTTGACAATACATGACCCTCCCCCCCCC